ATCAGGTCCTACTACAGCATTAGGCTATCATACTGTTAATGGTGGTATGACTCCTGCCATTAGTGAACAGCAGTTCAATCCTGTCAGGGATAGAAATACTGGAGGCTGTCCACCAGTACCACCAGTGAGTTTATAATCAAGGTTGAGGTCATTGAATCTTATTAATATCAATGTACTGTACCTGTGTGCTATCTGATACTACCTTCATAACTGAAAGAAATCCTAATTATTGTGCTTCTGCCCGGTACATACTCATTTCTAGTTATGCAGTTTTAAAAAGCTTAGATTACATATCCTTGAGTTACTCAACTTTTAGCCAGTGACTGAGCTATAGATTTAGGCTCCAAAAAACATAATTATGACATAAAATATCATTTTATCACTTACACATAAAAGATACCTGTATACATGTACATGTGTAAGTGTTGTGATTATTTTCCTTGTTCATAGACTGAGGACTTGGTATACACGTTCCAGCAAGGCACTCAAGGCTCAGGATATTATTTTGGTGCACGTATCAACCGAACCAATCCTCTCTATCTTGACATGAGGCTAGAGGCATCAGCCTCAGGATGGGTTGGGGTTGGGTTCTCTGTTGATAACCGAATGGTGAGTCTATAACTACATGTACATGTATATCATACAGTGGGAAATTTAGGAGGGAATTAAATTTGGTGAATTTGGCGTAACAATAGCTATTTGCCAAAATAAAGTCTGCCATTTTTAGCCTTTATGTGCATGCTCATGGCACGTGGCCACAAATTCACGAAATTAAAATTTGCCAATCACTAAAATTTAGCAACTCACCAAATTTTAGTCCCTCCAAAATTTCCCGCTATACAGTATCTACATGTACATGCATGTATATTTTGCTTTAAAGTTTTTCGTCTCTATTTTCTCTAAAATTTTCATTTTTTGTGCTAAAATTCAACCTGGCAAAAGAATTTTATGCAAAGAGTAAAAAATTAATGTCACTAATGTCACTGCATGTATAAGAGAATTTTCTCTAATTTTTTATTCATGTACTTATTTAGATTCTCCAGTATTTTACCTTACTGTTTTTTCTTTCCGTTGCTGTAGGGAGTGGATGATGTTTTAGCATGTCAGCGTGATCCTAATTCAAATATGGTGACTGCAGTTGATACATGGAATCCAGGACCGGCCCGTGAGCCTAACCAGATAGACCCTGGCCAGATTGACATCTGTCCCTACACTGGAAGTTTTGAGAATGGAAGAATAATTTGCACGTAATACCATGCATTAATAATAGTAGAATTAATGTGTATATAACCACCTGATCATCATTTATCATATCTAAATGTACTGTAAATCCTTAAATAAAAGCCGGATGCAATTAAATGCCAGGTTAGCAATAGGATTGAACTATAAATACACAAATCTAGCCTTGGAGTAACTCAGATGCCTTGTAGATACTGCCTTAAGCTCCTGAAGTCAAATGTGTAAGGTCACTTGTTCAAATCCCACTCTAGGCCCAAGTTTTTTATTTTATTTTTTTAATTTTTGAGGTCCGGATACCATTTTAGGAAATAGGCACCCTGGCTTCTATTTAAGGAAATATGCAACAACAACGATGATAGTAATTTGTAATGTGTTTCATGCTGTACTGTAGCAATAATAATAAATTTCTGAGCTAATTTTTGCTGCTTTTGTATGTATACAATGTCTCATTATTTCTACAGGTTCAGTCGATTGATAAATACAGGTGACACCAATAACGATTTGGACTTGGGTATGGCATTATTTCAACTGTATGGAACCAGTGACTCTGGAGGTATACATTAATATAAAACACATGTAGATATTACTAATAATATAAAGTGTATGAATAAATTTATTTGTGTATAGTGATCATTATCATTATCATACATAAAAAATTAACAGAAACTATTATTATTATGATTATTATTATTATTATTTTATTTATAATAAAAATTATACATTGCTATTAGGTCTGAGTTCATTAGCCCAGCATGGTGAAACACCAGCGGTTACTGCTGAGGCTATTGTAGTCACTAATGCTACTGGTGCACCTACTGATGACTTCCCCAGGAGAGAACTTACTAGAGTCCATGGTATGTGATACCGTATAGCTAGAAAATTTGGTGGAGTAAAACTTTGGCGAATTTGGCAAATTGAGGTCCATTCGCCAAATTTTTAGTCTTCAATTTGATAAGGCTACATAGAAGCATACACATGCAGAGTTAAAATTTCACCAAAATTTTACCTCCAAACCTCTTTTGGAGTCAATTCGCCAAATTTTAGCACTCCAAATTTTTTAGCTATACAGCATAGCATGAAGCCTAACCAAACTTACATAAAATATTGTTAACGAAATTTTGTGATCCAATGCATTAAGTATCAGTCTACTAAATTGCATTTTAAAAAGTTACAGCTTTTTGCGTCATGAAATTTAACTGTCCTATTGTGCTTTAGGTATATTGATGATAGTGGCATGGCCTCTACTGGTAGTCAGTGCTATATTCTTTGCTCTTTGGATGAAGCCAGCACTACCTAATGGAGAATGGTTCCAGGTGAGTGAATGCATCTCGTAACTCTGTAATCATCATTTTAAAATGTTTTATGTTCTAAACTTTAGTGATTAAATTTCTTTACATTTTATGCATGTGCGTATGTGTACATAATACAATGTACTATTAATGCTTTAAATTTAGCTATTCTTTTCTGTTATTTTTTCTTTATAGATACATCGTGCTTTCATGATAGTGTCCCTGTTTTTGACTGCCCTTGGGTTCATCTTTATTTTTGTTGCTAATGCCAAGAATCCTGGAGCACCTTCACCCGGTCTCATTAGCTTTGCCTGTGTAAGACCCACACTCTATTGTACAATGTACCATTCTTTTAAAATATATTGGAGAATTGCTGTTTTTTTTTATAGAAAGTATCCCTTGTTTTGTCCTAATATAAGCATGCTCAATGAAAAATTGCCAATGTAAAATTTGTCAATTGCTTTTATAGAAATATTACTCTTGCCAATAAATCATCTTGTACAGTATCATAATTATGATTGTATGCTAGATTCCAGCTATTTTTACTTTGTACATGTACATGTGCGTACTATACAGTGAATTCTGTATTATATATTTTTTATTGTTTTGTTATTTTAGGGTAAAAGCACAGGTCATTTTGTCATTGGAATCATTGTATTCTTTTTACAAATTATGAATGTAAGTTTGTACAGTAATAAATAATGCTCATTATTTTTTATTATTCCTAGCCTATCATTGCTATATTCCGTTGCAAGCCAACTGGCTCATAGTAAGTTAAAATATGATAACAATACATGTTTATTAATAATGGTTTTCTCATTAATAGTAGGTGGATATTTAATCTGATCCATGGTACTGCTATTGGTTTCTTGGCTGAGATACTAGCCTGTAAGATATTAAACCATTTGTCATTTAGCATCACATCTCTTCTCTCCCCCTCTCTCTCTCCCTCTCACCTTCTACTCTCTCTCTCCCCTCTCTCTCTCTCTCTCTTTCCCTTTTCTTTCATCTTCCTTCCTCCTTTTGTCTACACTTCTAGTGGTTAATGTTGGTTTGGGTATTGCTTTATTTGAGTCTGGTTGTGGTGGTACAAACTCTTTCACTCTCCTTTGGGTCTACATTGTGTTTGTTATATTGCTGGTCATTATACAGCTTGTTATGACCATTGTATTTACTGTGATGGCTTTTAGAGCTCCACCTGAAAGTAAGTCTTTTATAATTATTATGTTTCACTGTACTATAGTATTGGGTATTTTGTCAAAAATGGCTGGGAAAGAATTCTCGGTTTTTTATTTAAGAAATTTTAATGTATATACATGTACTTATGTTGTGTGGATAGTTTGAGCTGATTTCAATCAAATTTAGATTTGTTATGAATTTTTTAATTTGCTTCATAATATTCTGCCAATGTCTTTTAATGCTATAGAGCTACGTTGTGCAACTCCATGTCTGACACAATACTAACATTGATATTTATGTTTTAAGCAACATATCAGAAAATAAATTGATCTTAACATCTAATTTGATGTACATCTGCATGTACATGTACATTATACATGTACATGTACGTATACATGTACATCACTGATTATTCAGGGTTGTGTCATTATAATAACTCAATTTCGATTAATGATTTTAAAATTAACATACATTTGTTCATGCTTTAAATGCTCTTCTGTTCCCTATTTTTTCCTATCCTCTTCTTCATTTTATTTATGATTGTTTGTTTATTTTCCGGCGTTATTGGCATTCCATGAGGTCTTGTATCTCTTCCACCATCATAATTGTTTAGTCTGTTTAAAATAATAATGAAAGTAAATGATTCATCCCTCTTTCTTTGCCTCATCTCTTAACCTTTTGAAGGTGGATTTACAATAATTATTACGCAAGTCCTGACATTACTTTGGTGCTAGAATAGAATTCGGTTCTATTCTAGTGTAACGCATACATCAAAAGGTCAAATCACCCACGCTTTTGATTTAAAACTTTTTACAGTATACTCTGCCTTGAGTATCCCCTATCCTAGTTCAGTCATGCTTTCTCTATCCATTGTAAATAGAATAGTTGTATAGCCTTTTATATTTATGTTTTCTCCATTACAGAGAGAGCTGCATTGGGTCCAACATTCCTCAAGTATTACTTCCAGAGGTCTGCCAAGAGCAGCTTCTCCCCTCCACAGAAAGACATGGAGATGACAGAGAAGGGCAAAGCTGCTAGTAATGATCCACCACCAAAGAAGAAACCATCTGAAGTAATAATAATAATGTTTACTTTGGATCAATGCCACCAAATATTTCATGCATTATTAATTGATTGATAGCACAGCTACATGTAGCTTAGTGCACTGGTGCAAAAGCAGTTTTTTGATAGTCATAACTTTTGATAGTACGAATAACTTTGAATGGTATTAACAAAATACTGTAGACTCCCTTGCACATTGCTTAAAATAATTGTAAAATTGGTACCTATGTTTTTGATCAAGTACATGTATATCATTGATTTCTTTATAGGACTCTCCTTTCCGCTGGGGAGGTTTTGGTGTCTTTATCATCATTACTTTTGTTCTCGTAGTAGTTATGGCAATCATGGTTGCCGTCATTTAAGCTCATCATCTGTGAAAGATGCTGCATATACATAGTACAAACAAGTTATAAATGCTATTGCTTTTTGAACGCTATTTTCTGGTTGTTATTCTTTTTACACATTTTAGAGCATTTTAAAATACTGACTATAGTGTGTTTTAGGCCATTTTTATTATCACCCTGTCAATTTTTTTCAACAAAATAATCATATTCATAGTCTGGGTTTATTGATATTACAATTACAAGGGACGTACCCACCAGGCCTCTTTACCAGAAACCCGCCCCCTCAGATTGGGCTGCGCTGGAGGAGATCAGCTCGGAGGATAAGGACGTAGTCTATAATATCAAGAGTGGATAATTATCCACTCTTGATAATATCTATGCTTAAACTATGACTGCGCATGCGCAATGTTCAAACATTGAGTCTGTTATTAATTAACTATTAACATGTGCATCCTCGTGGGTTAAGTCAAAACTACAATGGATACTGGCGAACCTTGCTCGAAAAGAAGGAAAGTCTTTAACTATGGTTCTGATGTTGATTCCGAGAACCCAGAACCTTTTAGCAATTTATCTGTGGTGGATCATCATCAGGAATATACAAACCCGATTGATTCTCTGCCAAATGAGGTAATACAAGAGATATATATGATGCTCTCACTCAGAGATAAGATGTCCCTTCGATTAGTCAATCGAAGACTTTATACTGCATTTTCCAATCCTTATTTGTGGAGAAATGTTTTCATTGATGATGCAAATCATGAGACAAATGCTCCATTCATCAAATCTGCTCTAGAAACATGTCACCCACATGTACAGTCGCTTAGTTTAATGGGAAATCAACCGTTCAGTAACTATCAACAAATGATTGTTCAGTGTAAGAATATTCATACTTTGGATCTTTATGGGTTTGACATTTCTATCAATGCTTTGAAGAAGATTTTTTCAGATTTACCTCATCTACAGTGCCTAAGCCTGCCTTATATTCACACTATGATAGCTAATATTGTGGAATATTTTGCAATCTTTTCAAAGTTAAAAAAACTTGTCATAGTTAACCACGAGTTGTGTCACTACCCCAAGACACTGTTTGAGAGATGGCTTTTGAACAATTGTTTGCCACAAATATTTATTATCATTTCAACAACTGGGAAGAGATATTGGTACAAGAGTACACACTCTCTTTTTTCCTAATATCACCAATCACTCAGCTTATTTTGCACTTCATACAAAGTTTCGCCGACCTTTAGACTTTGATTTTTATGATGTACCCGAGTACTCGCTCGAAATTGGCCCCAGTAGTTCTGAATCTGTTGCTGTGACTGCTAATGGGAAGCTAATGATGAGAATGAGAGATATGATCACGCCAATGAATGATGATGTTAGTCAACGGTATGCTGTTTTTGAAGATGAAGCTGTCACTCCTGGCTTGTCAGTTTATACCAGTCAATACGGAGTTAACATTACTATACTTAGATTTTATTTTGTAACTGTATCGCTGAGTCCTTTTGTATGATTGTCAAAGAGACCCCCAACATGTTAGAGGTCAGTTTGAAGGAAAGTATTGTATCAGATTGTCTTGATGCTTACATGGTTCCATTAACTGTACACTGCCTCAAGCTAAGAGGATTAGATGTGTCTTGTTTCAGTAGTTCCAGAGATAGTGACAAGTTTGATATGGAGCACTTTTGGAATCTTTTGTCAAGAATGAAATATTTGAAATATTTGTCTGTCAACTGTTGCTCTCTCTCACCACTTACCCTCAACTCACAGGGTGGTAAACATTCAGCAAGAGTCCTAGTTGATAGAGAAGTGGCAGCAATGAAAAGTGTTATTGATCATATTAAGAGAATGACCAGACTCAAAGGTCTTTATGTCATTGACTCACACGAAACTACTAGAAGTAAGGAGTTAAAGCATCTTATTAGCCTACATTTGTTTTCGATTAATTCAAATCTGGTGTCTCTTAAGAAACATAAATTTATTCAGCAGTCATATATATCAAGTCATCATGCCTGAAACAGATGTTCTAGATAAAATTAAAGAGGGTCATTTTATTCAATTTTATGAATATGCAGGAAAACATGACAAAAATAGTGAGCTTGCAGAGGTGGACTTAAGTATAGCAGATTTCACAAATTTACATTAATTGTTTATTAAGCTACTGACTTTTATTAATTTTGTATTTATTTTTGTGATTCATAATGTTGTTTTTGTTTTATTTTATTATTATCACTATTTTTTTTTATCGTTATTATTAAAATTAATTGTTGAGAATGTCAAGCTTTATCGCTTACTACAAATAATTATTATTGTCATTTCAACTAATGACATAGAATATTGGTCCAGGAATAGGCAACAGACATCATTTTTAGTACTATTGTGTTTAGTTAATAACACTTAAGAACTTGTTGTCATTTTTATCAATGACATGACTTAACTGAGCATGCACTGAGTAAGGCCAGCTGACATAATCTATGTTTACTGTAAACATAAATGCATTTCACTGGAATGCATTCCTTCTTGGGTACAGTTTGCCAGAAAGTATCATTACACATTTACATAACATAATTATTATTAGCAACTAGTTAAAAACTGCACTATTATAGACTTTAATAATAAAATCAGCTCATTATTAAATAAAATTTAATATAAAATTATATAAATAAATTTTGTCATTGGAATCATTGTATTCTTTTTACAAATTATGAATGTAAGTTTGCACAGTAATAAATAATGCTCATTATTGTTTTATCATTCCTAGCTCATCATTGCTATATTCCGTTGCAAGCCAACTGGCTCATAGTAAGTTAAAATATGATAACAATACATGTTTATTAATAATGGTTTTCTCATTAATAGTAGGTGGATATTTAATTTGATCCATGGTACTGCTATTGGTTTCTTGGCTGAGATACTAGCCTGTAAGATATTAAACTATTTGTCATTTAGCATGACATATCTTCTCTCCCCCCCTCCCTCTCTCTCCCTTTCCCTTTTCTTTCATTTTCCTTCCTCCTTTTGTTTACCTTTTTAGTGGTTAATGTTGGTTTGGGTATTGCTTTATTTGAGTCTGGTTGTGGTGGTACAAACTCTTTCACTCTCCTCTGGGTCTACATTGTGTTTGTTATATTGCTGGTCATTATATGACCATTGTATTTACTGTGATGGCTTTCAGAGTTCCGCCTGAAAGTAAGTCTTTTATAATTATTATTTTTAAAGTTTTTTGTTTTGCTAATTTTTTCAAATGGGTATTTTGTCAAAAATGGCTGGGAGAGAATTCTCCGTTTTTTATAATATTTTCTGATGTATATACATGTACTTATGTTGTGTAGATAGTTTGAGCTGTTTCCAATCAAAACTATATTTTTTATTAATTTTTTAATTTGCTCAAAAATCAGGCTGGCCATAATTTGCAAAAATTTAAAAGGAGAGGATCTGTAATTTTTTAATAATTGTTTCTGATGCATATACATGTACTTATGTTGTGTAGAAAGTTTGAGCTGATTTTGATCAAATTTAGATTTGTTATGAATTTTTTAATTTGCTTTATAATATTCTGCCAATGTCTTTTAATGCAATAGAGCTTCATTGTCCAACTCCATGTCTGACAAAGTACTGACATTGATATTTATGTTTTAAACAACATATCAGAAAATAAATTCATCATAACATCTAATTTGACGTACATGTACGTATACATGTACATCACTGATTATTCAGGGTAGTGTCATTATAATAACTCAATTTCGATTAATGATTTTAAAATTAACATACATTTGTTCATGCTTTAAATGCTCTTCTGTTCCCTATTCTTTCCTATCCTCTTCTTCATTTTATTTATACTTGTTTGTTTATTTCCCGGCGTTATTGGCATTCCATGAGGTCTTGTATCTCTTCCACCATCGTAATTGTTTAGTCTGTTTAAAATATTAATGATAGTAAAGGATGCATCCCTCTTTCTTTGCCTCTTCTCTTAACCTTTTAAAAGTGGGTTTACAATAATAATATTATCAAATCCTTACATTACTTTGGTGCTAGAATAGAATTTGGTTCTACATGTATTTTAGTGTAAAGCATGCATCAAAAGGTCAAATGACCCATGCTTTTGATTAGTAAGATTTTACAGTATGTGGCCTAGCATCATATTGTAAATGTGCCTTGATTCCCCCCCCCCTATTTACATTGTAGTTATGCTTTCTCTATTTGTTGTAAAAGAATAGTTGTATGATTATTTATATTCATATTTCCTCCATTATATACAGAGAGAGCTGCATTGGGTCCAACATTCCTCAAGTATTACTTCCAGAGGTCTGCCAAGAGCAGCTTCTCCCCTCCATAGAAAGACATGGAGATGACAGAGAAGGGCAAAGCTGCTAGTAATGATCCACCACCAAAAAAGAAACCATCCGAAGTAATAATTATGTTTACTTTGGATCAATGCCACCATGCAAATATTTATAATAAAGATCATCCATACATGTATACATAGATAATGATTCATGCATTATTAATTGATGGCACAGCTACATGTATACTGGTGCAAAAACAATTTTCTTGATAGCTATAACTTTGATAGTATGAATAACTTTGAATGGTATTAACAAAATACTGTAGATTCCCTTGCACATGCTTAAAATAATCATAAATCAGCACCCATGTTTTTGATCAAGTACATGTACATGTATATCATTGATTTTTTTGTAGGACTCTCCTTTCTGCTGGGGAGGTTTTGGTGTCTTTATCATCATTACTTTTGTTCTCGTAGTAGTTATGGCAATCATGGTTGCCGTCATTTGAGCTCATCATCTGTGAAAGATGCTACATATACATAGTACAAACAAGTTATAAATGCTATTCCTTTTTGAACGCTGTTTTCTGGTTGTTATTCTTTTTACACATTTTAGAGCATTTTTAAATACTGACTATAGTGTGTTTTAGGCCATTTTTATTATCACTCTGTCAATTTTTTTCAACAAAATAATAATCATATTCATATTTTGGGTTTATTGATATAACATATCTATGACATTTCCAACTCCAAGACACACCTTAGTTTCATTCTGTTTCAATGTGGAAAATGGCTTTGACTTCTGTTGCTCTCCTGTTCTTGTCCTGCGTGACTATTGTTTTCTCCTACTCGAGCGGTCCGCCAACTAGCCGGTGCAGTAATCTCCTTCCTGGTCACCCTACTTCAACGGGAGGCAGTAATCCAGGTGGCTTCTATATTTACTCTGACCTCATTGACTGTAATGGAGCCTACAATGCCAGCCAGGCATACACGAGTAAGATTCTATTACCTACTGTCATTATTAACTGTTTCTTTGTATAGTTCGACTTCAAGGTAGCCAGAATTTTAAAGGTTTCATCATTCAGGCTCGCGAGTCCGGGACTTCTAACTTGATTGGTACCTTTTCCAACCTACCATCAGGTACACAACTAATGGGTTGTGGTGGATCAGCTACAGTAAGTTAAAGTGTGTCATGATAAATGTATTAAGTATAACTTTAGGTCTCTCACAACAATGGTAATGCTAAGAGTTCAGTTACGGTTACCTGGACTTCTCCAGCATCTACTGGGACACTGGACATCAGGTCACTTTAGCATTAATTTTGATTGCTTTAACTGTTTGTATAGTGTAATTAATAATGCAAGTTTGTATATGCATTTGTTCATGTAGGTATACAGTTGTAGTGAGTAGGACTCCACAAAGTGTTTTTTATGCAAATATGGCTGCAGCCTCTTTCAGAGTAAGTTATAATGCATGTATGATAATAACTTATGTTTGTATCAATATAGCCTAGTGGATCATCATGTACTCTTAACAGTCCTGTTACTAGTAGCTCTGTTGCTAGTAGCTCTGTTACTAGCAGCTCTGTTGCTAGTAGCTCTATTGCTCCTACCAGTACACCTGGTAAGATTATTTCATTCCTAAATGACACTATAATTTTTCTTAATTTCTCTTATAGCTCCTAGTAGCTCTACTCAAGGTATGCCATCAAGCAGTTCTACACCGCCAACCAGTAGCTCTATATCACCAACCAGCAGCTCTGCCCTACCCTCCAGCAGTACTAGCTCAGTACAGCCTACAAATCTACCTCCAGCCTGCCCTTCTACTGATAAGGTATTGCGACAAATAGCTGATTAAGTTCACAATAATATCATATGTATCATATTTCATTCAGACTCCTTCCTCTGACTTTCCAATTGTGTTCAAGTCACCAACTAATTGTGACAGAGCGTCCTGTACCTTCTATTGGGCAATGGGACCTAATTCAGTCAACTCACAATATCTTGATATATATATGGAGGGAACTGTTGATGGATGGATGGCTGTTGGATTCTCTCTTGATCAATCAATGGTTAGTTAACCTGATACAATATGTATTCAAACTATTCATTATTATTATTATTGGTATAGGGTATGGATGATGTGTTGGGATGTAAAATAGAGAATAATGCTGTTACTGTATTGGATACATGGAATCCTAATGGATACACTCCTAATGTAGCTGACAGTAACTCATCTGCTGGTATATGCACTCACTCTACCAGTTATACCAATGGGAGGATGTCATGTCTGTAAGTTTACCTTTTCTATTCATGGGATGTGTAATACAATTAATAATACTATACTATATTCATGAGTCATGTGTTATGTTTATTTCCCTATGGGGCATATACACTCCATATCAGAACTACATGTATACGGTTAGTTTGTGCCACTTTTTCCATACTTTTGAATAAATAGACTATATTGGTGTATATATATCCTGGGGGGCTAAAACTAGAATTCTCTAAGGTCTGGTGTCACTGCTAAGTGTCTTAAGAAAGTTATTCAACACACTTGACAATGACAATCATTTCAGCCTCAATTTCAGCAGTGTTCAATGGTTTAAAGAGCAATAAGGAGCTCTACCTTGCTTGAAATTACCGTGACCCCACTTATTGTTAATGAGTAATCTAGAATTGGCAAAAAAGGATATTTTAGTGCCATAAAAGGGACATGGCCCAAAAATTGTGGCAACTTTTGTGCACCATTACAGCACCCTCCTCTTCCAATTCCTGCGTAATAAGCCCCTGGGTATATATAAACCAACAAGTTAATTTTCTGCTTGACTGCCATGCAACTCCCTCTGGATCATTAATTATGTATGCCTGTGTACTTTGGTACTCTGCACAATGATAGCATTGTACTATTAGTGCATGCTTTTTCCTATTCGCATATCAATCAAAGTTTAATGTAAATTGTCCATTATTATTCTTTCATCTTGTAAACAATAATTAACAAATCCACTCTTGACTGAATTTCCTGTGATGATAAAACTTTCATGTCCTGTTTGGATGGGCATGCATGTCGTAATACATTCAGCACTTGCTTCACATTATATAGATTCAGTCGTTCTGCTGGTATAACTAATCAAGGACAAGATTACAATCTTGATTCATCTTACTACATACTGAGAGCTTACAGAACTAATAGTAAGACTGTTTAATTATCAGCAATTACATGCATGCATTTCTAATAACTATTAATAATTACCCACTCTTGATTTTAACAATTAACTTTGTGTTCTACAGGTCAGCCAGTGGTCAGTTTCCTATACAAGCACAGTAGTACTCCTACTCCTTCCTCAGTACAGTATAATCCAATGAGAGACTCTAATACTTCACCATCATGTCCTAGTGCTCCTGTAAGTAACTGATTTACTGTAGTATGATTGTGTGACAGGTAGTTTGTTTTCAAAAATGTGCATACATGTATGTCATTAATGTTATCATTTTTGTTCTCTTTAGACTGATACTTCAGCTTTTCCAATTGTGTTCAAGTCACCAACTGATTGTGATAGAGCGTCCTGCACCTTCTATTGGGCAATGGGACCTAAATCAGGGAGTTCACAATATCTTGATGTATATATGGAGGGAACTGTTGATGGATGGATGGCTGTTGGATTCTCTCTTGATCAATCAATGGTTAGTTAACCTGATACAATGTGTATTCATTATTATTATTATTATTATTATTATTATTATTATTATTATTATTATTATTGGTATAGGGTATGGATGATGTGTTGGGATGTAAAATAGAGAATAATGCTGTTACTGTATTGGATACATGGAATCCTAATGGATACACTCCTAATGTAGCTGACAGTAACTCATCTGCTGGTATATGTACTCACTCTACCAGTTATACCAATGGGAGGATGTCCTGTCTGTAAGTATAGAGATGCATACATGTATAGCTTAATGAATACTACTCATTATTATTATTATTGTTATAGATTTAGTCGTTCTGCTAGTATAACTAATCAAGGACAAGATTACAATCTTGATTCATCTTACTACATATTGAGAGCTTACAGGACTAATAGTAAGAAAAACTCACTAAAACGGCAAAATCATAAATGATATTTTCAGGCCAGCCAGTGGTCAGTTTCCTATACAAGCACAGTAGTACTCCTACTCCTTCCTCAGTACAGTATAATCCAATGAGAGACTCTAATACATCACCATCATGTCCTAGTGCCCCTGTAAGCAACTGTCTGTCTTACTCTAAAATTGTATACTGGGTAGTTTGTTCTAGCCCTAAAATGAATAATTACTGTTGGCTTTTTGAAAGCTTGGAGTCACTTTTTGATTGTCAATTAGAGCTGGGCGATAGTGATAAAATCACTATCATGATATTTGCCTCAATTATTATCCCAATAGTAAACTATCACGATATAATAGCTTTTATGCGTTTAGTTTATTAATTTTAAATTAAAAGGATACAACTCAACAATGCAATAAATGTAGCATATTGTTATGTACGCATTATTGCTTGATGTGTTGTTTAACTAGTAAGCATAATCGTTGTTCATTTACGCTTCACTGAACACTTGTATAAAGCTCTACCAAATATCACTCTTAAATTGCTACCATTGCCACGACTATAACACTTAATGGCTAAAATTGTGGTTATAGCACAGAGCATGCCTAGACTGGCTGGCTAGATCCACTATCACGATAGCTTGAATACTACTATCACATCACAATAGCTTTTATACTATTGCGATAGTGAATATATTCGAAACTATCATCCAGCTCTGTTGTCAATAATTAATTTTTAAACAAAACAAATTTATGAATCTACATGTATCCACTTCTATATAGCCAGTGTTAATGTGATGTGCATTTACTTTAATAGATTGTCTTCTGTCATTAACACTATCATTTTGTTCTCTTTAGACTGATACTTCAGCTTTTCCAATTGTGTTCAAGTTACCAACTAATTGTGATAGAGCGTCCTGTACCTTCTATTGGGCAATGGGTCCTAATTCAGGCAGTTCACAATATCTTGATGTATATATGGAGGGAACTGTTGATGGATGGATGGCTGTTGGATTCTCTCTTGATCAATCAATGGTTAGTTAACCTGATACAATATGTATTCATTATTAATATTAATATTATTATTATTATTATTATTATTATTGTTATTGTAGGGTATGGATGATGTGTTGGGGTGTAAAATAGAGAATAATGCTGTTAATGTATTGGATACATGGAATCCTAATGGATACACTCCTAATGTAGCTGACAGTAACTCATCTGCTGGCATATGCACTCACTCCACCAGTTATACCAATGGGAGGATGTCATGTCTGTAAGTGTAAAAATGCATATTGCCTGAAAAATGCTACTTGTTATTCTTGTCATAGATTCAGTCGTACTGTTAGTATAACTAATCAAGGACAGGACTACAATCTTGATTCATCTTACTACATATTGAGAGCTTATAGAACTAATAGTAAGATTAACAAAACAATGACTAACGATAAATATTGAATATTGTGTGTTCTACAGGTCAGCCAGTTGTCAGTTTCCTATACAAGCACAGTAGTACTCCTACTCCTTCCTCAGTACAGTATAATCCAATGAGAGACTCAACTACACCAGCACCTCCAACTGAGGACTGCCCTCAAGCTCCAGTGAGTATCAGTATTGATATTTATTCCTTTCAGCACAACTGCATTAATAGAAGCTTTTTTGAGGCCCTAAATACTGAGGACTACTGTATAGTGGGAACTTTTGGGGGGAATTAAATTTGGTGAATTGGTGCTTTGATAGGCATTTGCCAAAATAAAATCTGCCATTTTGAGCCATTATACGCATGCTCAATGGCACGTGGCCACTAATTTGCCAAATTAAAATTCACCAATCACCAAAGTTTAGCAATTCACCAAATTTAACTCCCTCCAAAATTTCCTGCTATACTGTACAATAGTTTAGTTAAAATTTGCTTATTTTTAAATGCTAATAACTGAATATGTATAATTAGAATCAGCTGAATAGTTTATAGTACATAAACACACTACATGTAGATGTCTGTGTTTATTTTATTTATTTATTTATTTATTTATTTATTTATTAATAGTCATCAGATACTACTTATCCATTCCGTGTTGGTAGTCCTGGAGACGATTATTATTTTGCTGCTAATTTCAATTCTGATAATAGCAGTTTCATTGATATGCGGTTGGAGGGTAAAGCTGATGGATATATTGCTGTTGGATTCACTGCAACAAGAGATATGGTACAGCAAAATTCAGTATATAATAAACATAAATATACATTTCTATTTTTTGTTCTAGTCATTAGCAGGAACTAATACAGTATTTATATAAATAGTTTTGTTTCACGTCTCACTGATTGTGTGCATGTATATACTTTAATGTTTTCTTTGTATTATTTATTTATTTATTTTCCATTTGTTTAGTATAATGCAGATGTTGTTGGTTGCAAGAGAAACCCTGCTGATGGCTCAGTATCAGTCATTGATACATGGAACCCAAGCACTCGGAGTAACCTCTTAGATGCCAGCCAGTCAGGAATATGCAGACACACTGCAGGGTATAGCAATGGAAGAATCAGTTGCACGTAAGAATAATGTAGTACCATAGGGTATCTTTTTATGAGGGTTGTAAATTTTTGCGGACTTCGTGACTTTTTAAAGATTCACAAAAATTACTTCTGCAAAAATCAAATTAATATGGTACAAGATGGCAGACGGCATGAATTCGGGAAAATTAAATCCGAAAAATAAAAATCCACGAAATCTGTAGCCTTCAAAAAAGGCGCCCTACGGTATTTAGTAGTATAAGCAAAGTGCTCAATTTAGTGGCTTGCCAGATTTATTTGGTTCAAATTTTAGTATCATCTTTCAGTCTGTGTTAAAGCCTCTTTGATTTTTATCCCAATCTGTTTTAATAATAATTATTAGACCATTAGGTCATATTTCAAAAAATTATATCTTCCTTATAAACTTGTGCAGGTTCAGTAAGTATGTTGGCATTATTGATAGTGGTCAGGATCTGGATCTTAATGCCACTCTTTATCGTATATACAATGCTTATAGTTCAACTGGAGGTTAGTTATGACAGTATTTGTGTTCATGGCTGCTAGTGGGCTTGGGTCATCTCTCCAAATGACCCCTAATTTTTATTAGATTTTCTGACAAATATTAATGCCCTTATGCTGTGTAGAAAGTTTGGGCTGTTTCTGACAAATAGTTTCTGAGTTATGAACATTTTTAAATCGATTCAATTTTTGAAAAAAAGCAAAGACTATTATAGCCCATAGTTATTTTTAAAATTGGCTACGAAATCATTCCCAATTTTTATTACATTTTCTGATACATATTGATGTCCTTATGCTATTTAGAAAGTTTGAGCTGTTTCTGACAAAAATTTTTCGAGTTATGATCATTTTTAAAAATAGGCCAAATTTTGAAAAATACCCAAGGCTATATAGATCATAGTTTTTCAAAAAAAATGGCTCCGAAATCACCCACAATTTTTATTACAATTTTTGACAAATACTATTGCCCTTATGCTACGTAGAAAGTTCAGCTGTTTCCAACAAATAATTTTAGAGCATTAAAAAATAGGCCAATTTTTGAAAACGTTTTGTGATACATATTTTTTCAAAAATTGACTCCAAATTCACCCCTCATTTTTAACAGTATTTTTTTTATGCGCATTGTTGTCCTGATGCTACATAAAAAGTTTAATTAATTTTTTTAGATTTGTTTGATTAGCAATAGTTGTTGACTAGAGTCTGCATGTATGTGTATGTATGTTTGTTTTTTGTGTACCTACTATAGTACACCCGTACATGTATGTCTAAAATTGTGTTTTTTTAATTATTATGACTTGACTAATTGGCTTGTTTTATTTTTATGAATGAATAGGTTTGGCTTCGGAAGGACTATCTAGACATACCATTACTCCATCATTCTCATCGGCTCAGACTAACTTACTAACTGATATTAGAGAAGGAAGGACTGAAACTGTTGATACTTGGCCTAAACAACAACTACTGAAAACACATGGTATGATAGTACATACACATACAATGTACATGTATTATTACTGTAATGTTTTCATTATTTATTATTTATTTATTTATTATTATCATTATTAGGTACTTTCATGACTATTGCCTGGCTGGTATTAGCTATGTCGGGTGCCTTCCTTGCTGCCTGGATGAAACCAGTACTACCTAATGGAGAATGGTTCATAGCTCATCGGATACTAATGGCTGGATCACTCATTGTTGGTGTACTAGGATTCATACTACCATTCATTGCACATGCTAGGAGTCCTACCCCTGGACTTATTAGCTTCTCATCTGATGTGAGTCCACATAATAATGACTACTGTGAATTAATGTGTTCATATTTTAGGGTAAGAACACAGCTCATTTTGTTATTGGAATCATCATAATGTGCTTACACATTGCTAATGTAAGAATTACTAGTAATTTCATTGTTACTATTTACTGTCAATAGCCTATTATTGCTGTTTTCCGCTGTAATCCAAAAGGAGAAAAGTAAGACACTTCTTACATGTATTACCTTAGAGTGACTTTTAATTGCGGGTACTAAATTTTGCGATTGTAGCACAAGGTAGATTTTGCTAGTATTAAAAATTATGATTAAGTAATTATTACTAATAGTTATATGGCATCATTCATTATAAATAATTGCGCGTATTAATAATTGCGATTTTTAACCCAAGCGCAAAATTTGCAATTAATATTACCCGCTTTTAAAAGTAACCTTATAATACATTGAATGCATGCAGTTCATATTTTGACTGGGAGTTCAATTCTTTGTATACTTTTAATTACCTTAGTATTAATAATTTCATTTATTATTATTAATAGACGTTGGATCTTTAACCTCTCTCATGCCCACATCATTGGCTATGCACTACTGGTCCTCTCCTGTAAGTATCGAATAATAATAATATAGTATACTTTTAGTGTTAGCAAATAATGTTGGTAGTATAATTTTATCATAATTTGAGTCTCGTTTTTCTCATTGTAGTTATCAATATTGCTCTTGGGGCCCACCTCCTTGATAGAGGCAGCTTTGAAGTGGCTGGTTTCTACATTGTCTTCATCATACTCCTCACATTGTTCCAAGTGTTCCTATTCATCATTCATGCTTATAATGCACATAATGCTCCAGAGAAAGGTAATTATAATCTAATGTGCATATATATTTGCTGGTATACGTATAGTGCTTTATTTTGGTGGACCTTTATTTTGGCGATTTTGCTGTAAATTGTAATTGGTGGTTTTTAATTTGGCGATTTTTTGTGTACATGTGCATTACTGAGCATCCACATTAATGATTGGTGGTTTTAATATTGGCGATTCTACTTGCAAACCGCCAATCGCCAAAATATAACTCCGCCAAATTAAAGTGCTATACGGTTGTTTCTACCATGCCACCTTGCAATTGACCAATCAGATTGCAGTATTGGAGGTCAATTATTTTTCATATTAACCTAGCTCGTAAAAATATAAACCTATCTCGTTAAATAATTAATTGCCGGATTGGCAGTTTGGTACTCTACGCTTATGCTCTTATTAGTCTATTTGTCAAGTTTGGTTGATTCTTTACTGGCCTAGCTTAGATATGTTGTATGTATGTCAACTGTGGTCTTATTATCAGCAGCTGGTAGTTGTTTTTCAAGTGTCATGGTAGAAGTTGGTTATACACCTCGGTATCGGTTTCTATGGCATTTATTAACCTCGCGACTGCATCGCTCGGTTAATAAATACCATAGAAACCTCTACCTCGGTGTATAACCTATACTTGGAATGTATTATCATTATTATTATAATTTTGTGTGTTTTTAGATCGTCCTGCACTGGTTCACAGTCTATTGAAGTATAAGTATCTGTTTGCAACCAGTACTAGTGGAGAGTATGAGTTGAAAGATAAAAATAAGAAGGAAGAGGAAGAAAAGAAGGACACTGTAAAACCAGAAAAGAAGAAACCTATCCCAGTATGCAAATGATCCAGTGATAATATTCCATCATTTATCATCATCCTCTTATTATTATTACCTATTTCTTTTCTTTCTTTTTTGACACAGAGTGCTTTAATCCGTACCAGTTGGATAGCAGTCATTGGTCATTTGATTGCTGTTGCTATTGCTGTAGAGATCATGATCATATTGATTGCATTCGCTTAAAGGTTTTGAAACTAACACGCCTCTCCACCAAGCATTTCTAACCATACTACACTTATCCTATACTTATTTAGCTAAACCTTTATTTTATTTTTGCATGTCACATGAATAACTTTTAGCACCCTCCATAATTTAGTATGAACTTTTTACTACCTTCATCTTTCCTTATTATTATTTTGACCATAAATATTTTTTATTATAGATGTTGTTGTATTGTGTTCTGCCTTCAATCCAATTCATTACGATTTTAAATTTAGCCGCGCCTTTTACCTATTTTGTTCACCCAGTTTCGACTTTCGAGCCCAGTTTGCAAGAGCTCCACCTCCACCATGTCTCTCCTAGTAGGTTGCTTTCCTTCTCCAGCTCTCTTTCTTTCTTGCTCATTCTTATTCCAGCGGTCCACCGGCTGGCGTTTGTTCCTCTCTCGTTCCTGGCCACTCTTCTTCAACGGGTGGGCCCAATCCAGGTGGCTTCTACATCTTCTCTGATCTGATCGACAATGGTGGCGACTACAATGCCAGCCAGTCCTACACTAGTGAGTGTGTAGAGTATGACTAGTCACTTGTCATTACAGTTCCTTTTCTTAGTTCGCTTGGCAGGTAGCCGCCAGTTTAAAGGGTTGATGATTCAAGCCAGGGAGGCTGGCACCACAAATTTAATTGGCAGTTTTTCTAATTTACCTTCTGGGACTAAAACACTAACCTGTGGTTCTTCTTCGTCAGCTACGGTGAGCACAATTGTTAAAAAGTATTTGTGAGTGCTTGTAATAATGGTGTACTACATGATGCTTGTAATGATCTTGCAATCTATTGCTGTGAAGAATAGCCTATGAAGTGTTTTATAATGTGGATTAGGTCTTATTTTTTAATTATTTCAGGTCACTCATTCAGATTCTAGTTTAAAGAATAGCGTCACAGTAACATGGACTGCTCCAGATACTGCTGGCATGCTTGAAATCAGGTCTTTTGTAGATTAAATAAATACCTGTTATTATAAATGTATATATAGGTATACTGTGGTCATAAGGAATGATGGCAGTAGTATATTCTATGCAAACATGAACGCTGGTGATTTCAGAGTAAAAGTTTTTTCTTCATGTTTTATTTTTTATGACTATTTATTTTTCCCATAGCCTGGTAGCACTGAGATATGTCCAATGACTGATAAGGTAAGTTCCATAAATCCTTACAATATTCTATATACATATCTATCAAATTACTTAAGTGCTGACATGTACCTTATTTACTTAAATAAAAGCCCTGGCGTCTATTTCCTAAAATGGTACTTGGACCTCCAAAAAAATTTTTTAAATAAAATAAATCTTGGGCCCAGAGTGGGATTGGAACTACTGACCTTACACATTCGACTTCAGGAACTTAAAGGAAGTATCTACAAGGCATCTGAGTTGTTTTTAGCCTACGTGTAGATTAGCGTATTTATAGTTCAATTCTGTTGGAACCCTGGCATTTATTCGCATCTGGCTTTTATTTAAGGATATACGGTACATAGTAACATGCTTTTAACTTGTTTTGATAAATCATTTGTATTATGCACACTACATGTCCTTAATACAGAGGTGGAAGTGCTTTTATATTGGTTTGTACTAATTGGGACATTTTATGATCACAGAGATGTTTGTATTATAAAGGTTCCATTGTATAGCTACGTCACAGGAACTACCTGTATTTACCTATAAAGTGCATTAGTAACCTTCAATCTAACTGTAGTCAGTAGTATTCTATCATGATAGCAAGTCAGTAGTAACTGACATTGTGGATTACTATGACTTAATTGAGTGTACATGCATAATTAATTATATATTAGCCTATTGCGATTATGAAAATTACATTTCAATTAATGTCACTATTATTTTTACAATAGTCTCCTTCTGCTTTTCCAATTATAATCAAATTGCCTTCAGGCTGTGATAGGACGTCCTGTAGCTTCTATTGGGCAATGGGTCCTAATTCAGTCAATTCACAATATCTTGATGTATATATGGAGGGAACTGTTGATGGATGGATGGCTGTTGGATTCTCTCTTGATCAAGCAATGGTTAGTTAACCTGATACAATATGTATTTGCTATTATTATTATTATTATTGGTATAGGGTATGGATGATGTGTTGGGATGTAAAATAGAGAATAATGCTGTTACTGTATTGGATACATGGAATCCTAATGGATATTACGCTCCTAATGTAGCTGACAGTAACTCATCTGCTGGTATATGTACTCACTCTACCAGTTATACCAATGGGAGGATGTCATGTCTGTAAGTTTATCAGTATTGTACTGTTATGAAACATCTTATTTAGGCCAACTGCCAAGTTTTATTGAACCACACATGCACTTTTACATTGATAATGCTTGTATACCTATTAATGCGTACATGCATGTACACATACATGTATGTCTCATGAATGGATTGATTACGATTGTGCTACATTAGTACAACATCAATTTCTATTCTATTATTATTATCATAATATAAGATAGATATTATTACAATTATATTATTGTTATAGATTCAGTTGTTATGCTGGTATAATGAATCAAGGACAAGATTATTATCTCAATTTGTCTTACTACATAATATCAGCTTATAGGACTAACAGTAAGAATTTAAAATCAATGCTGTCATCATTATACTGCCCTTTATTATATTATAGGTCAGACTGTCTCAACTTCCCTTGCTAAACACAGCAGTACTCCTTCCATTAGTCCTAGTCAATACAATCCAATGACAGATACATACCAAGAGATGCCTACTAGTGTCTGCCCTAATGCACCAGTGAGTCATAGTAATGTACAGCCATATACCCTAATAATGTCTCACTCCATTTTATTTATTTATGTATTCCTTTATTAATAGTCATCAGATGCTACTTATCCATTCCGTGTTGGTAGTCCTGGTATTTTGCTGCTCGTTTTAATTCTGAGAATGGCAGTTTCATTGATATGCGGTTGGAGAGTAAAGCTGATGGATGGATTGCTGTTGGATTCACCAGAACAAGAAGAATGGTAGCTTTACATGCATGCATGAGTAGTTACATGTACACTTACATGCAATTTTTAAATTTGCTCAAAATTCAGGCCAAAGACCCTGTAGGGCCAATTTCGCCAAAATTGAAAAGGAGAGAATTTACAATTTAGATATTTGCTTCTGATACATATTTCTTCTGTTCCCTATTCTTTCCTATCCTCTTCTTCATTTTATTCATGTTTGTTTGTTTTTTTCCCGGTGTTAGTGGCATTCCATGAGGTCTTGTATCTCTTCCACCATCGTAATTGTTTAGTCCGTTAAAAATATTAATGATAATAAAGGATGCATCCCTCTTTTATTGCCTCTTCTCTTAACCTTTTGAAAGTGGGTTTACAATAATAATATATTACCAAATCCTGATGTTACTCTGGAGCTAGAATAGAATTTGGTTCTATTCTAGTGTAAAGCATAAGTCTAAAGGTCAAATCACCCATGCTTTTGATTAAAAAAATTTTACAGTGTGCTGGCCTAGTATCATATTGAAAACATGCCTTGAGTCCCCCCTCCTGTTTAGTTATATATTTGTTATAAATAGAATAGTTGTATGATCGTTTATATTCATATTTTCTCCATTATATACAGAGAGAGCTGCATTGGGCCCAACATTCCTCAAGTATTACTTCCAGAGGTCTGCCAAGAGCAGCTTCTCCCCTCCACAGAAAGACGTGGAAATGACAGAGAAGGGCAAAGCTGCTAGTAATGATCCACCGCCAAAGAAGAAACCATCTGAAGTAATAATTATGTTTACTTTGGATCAATGCCACCAAATATTTATAATGAAGATCATCCATAGATATACATAGCATAATGATTCATGCATTTTTAATTGATAGCACAGCTACATGTAGCTTAGTGCACTGGTGCAAAAGCAGTTTTTTTGATAGTTATAACTTTTGATAGTATGAATAACTTTGAATGGTATTAACAAAATACTGTAGATTCCCTTGCACATTGCTTAAAATAATTGTAAAATTGGTACCCATGTTTTTGATCAAGTACATGTACATGTATATCATTGATTTGTTTTTTTATAGGACTCTCCTTTCCGCTGGGGAGGTTTTGGTGTCTTTATCATCATTACTTTTGTTCTTGTAGTAGTTATGGCAATCATGATTGCCATCATTTAAGCTCATCATCAGTGAAGGATGCTACATACATGTAGTACAAACAATTATTGATAATATAAAACTGCTATTGTTTTTGAACACTGTTTTCTGGTTGTTATTTTTTAGAGCGATTTTTATACTAACTATAGTGTGTTATCACTCTGTCAATTTTTTTCAACATAAATAATTATTACGTAATCTAAATCATCAAGACACACCTTTCATTCCTTTTTAGGCTAGCATGAAAATGGCTTTGATTCGTGTTACTCTCTTGTTCTTGTCCTGCTTGACTATTGTTTTCTCCTACTCGAATGGTCCACCAACTAGCCAGTGCAGTGGTCTCACTCCTACCGGCCACCCTACTTCATCGGGTGGCAGTAATCCCGGTGGCTTCTATATTTACTCTGACCTCATTGACTGTAATGGAGCCTACAATGCCAGCCAAGCATATACGAGTAAGGATCTATTACCTACTGTCATTATTAACTGTTTCTTTGTATAGTTCGACTTGAAGGTAGCCAAGATTTTAAAGGTTTCATCATTCAGGCTCGCGAGTCCGGAACTTCTAACTTGATTGGTACCTTCTCCAGCCTACCATCAGGTACAGAACTAATGGGTTGTGGTGGATCAGCTACAGTAAGTTAAAGTGTGTCATTATAAATGTATTAAGCATAACTGTAGGTCTCTCACAGCAATGCTAATCCTAAGAGCTCAGTGACGGTTACTTGGACTGCTCCAGCATCTGCAGGGACACTGGATATCAGGTCAATTAGCATTTGATTACCTTATAGCCACAAAGTTTTGAAGCAAATAAACTTTTGCGAATCAGGCTTAAAGTCTTTTTTCGCAAATTAGCTTTCATGGTTCACCATGTCCATGAAGCCTCACCCAAGGGAGCTATTTTAATATGTAAAATACACGCAATTATAGGTTGAGACAGATAATTTTATGGAACTAACTTTTGTGGATACAGAAAATCCACGAAAACAGGGGAAATTATTTCCTCGAAATTAAGTGGCTTTAACTGTTTGTTCTTTAACTAATTATACCAAACTTGACATAATCTAATTAATGCAAATTTGTATGTGCATTCGTTCATGTACACATGTAGGTATACAGTGGTAGTGAGTAGGTCTCCACAAAGCATTTATTATGCAAATGTGGTTGCAGCCACTTTCAGAGTAAGTTATATATAATGCATGTATAATATGGCTACTGCATTTGTATTAATATAGCCTAGTGGATCATCATGTACTCTTAACAGTCCTGCTACTAGTAGCTCTGTTGCTCCTACCAGTACACCTGGTAAGATTATTTTATTCCTAAATGACACTATAATTTTTCTTAATTTCTCTTACAGCTCCTAGTAGCTCTACTCAAGGTATGCCATCAAGCAGTTCTACACCACCAACCAGTAGCTCTATATCACCAACCAGTAGCTCTGCCCCACCCTCCAGCAGTACCAGCTCAGTACAGCCTACAAATCTACCTTCAGCCTGTCCTTCTACTGATAAGGTATTGCTACAAATAGTCGATTAAGTCACACAATAATATTATATGTATCATATTTCATTCAGAGTCCTTCCTCTGACTTTCCAATTGTGTTCAAGTCACCGACTAATTGTGACAGAACATCCTGCACCTTCTATTGGGCAATGGGTCCTAATTCAGGCAGTTCACAATATCTTGATGTATATATGGAGGGAACTGTTGATGGATGGATGGCTGTTGGATTCTCTCTTGATCAAGCAATGGTTAGTAACCTGATACAATATGTATTCATTATTATTATTATTATTATTATTATTATTATTATTATTATTATTATTATTATTATTATTGGTATAGGGTATGGATGATGTGTTGGGATGTAAAATAGAGAATAATGCTGTTACTGTATTGGATACATGGAATCCTAATGGATACAATCTTAATCAAGCTGACAGTAACTCATCTGCTGGTATATGTACTCACTCTACCAGTTATACCAATGGGAGGATGTCCTGCCTGTAAGTGTATATCCTATCAAATGCCAATTATCACCTTTTCTATTCATGGGGTGTGCAATACCAGTAATAACACCATATTGTATTCATGAGTCATGTGTTATGTTAATATCCCCTATGAAGGTGTACACTCCATATAAGAACTATACTGTTAAATTTGGGCCACTTTTTCTAATCTATTGAATAAGTAGACTATATTTGTGTATATATATAAACCCGACATGTTAATTTTCTGCTTGACTGTCACTGGAGCATTAACGATGTGTGTCTGTGTTTGATGGAGTACTTTTGGTCCTCATGCAGGCACACAGATAGCGTTGTACTATTAGTGTATGGTTGCACTATTTACATGTACATGTACCTTAAATTTGCTCGAATAAACGCCCTGCTTAAATAAACGCCCATGCTAGATATTTTCTAACTATAGATACGCATATTTCACCCAGTATATGTGCCTTAGGATTTAGATTGTGCCAGATAGCCTAACTGTTAGAAAACAGTTTGGAATGCCACAAGGTCGCAGGTTTGAATCCACTAGAGGCTTTTTTGGTTTTTTTACCTGATTTTTTTCCTGTTAAGAAATAAACGCCCGGGCGTTTAATTGAGCAAATACAGTATATCCATTGAAGCTTAATTTGAATTTATTTATCTTTTATGTTGCAAACAATTAACAAATCCATTCTCGTGAATTTCTTGTGGTAACAAAGTTTTCATGTCCAGTTTGGATAGACATACATGTACATGTATTTTAATAGTAGATTCAGCCACATTATTATTATTATTATTATTATTATTATAAAACAACAACAACAACAACCAATTATTATTATTATTATTATTATTATTATTATTATTGTTATAGATTCAGCCGTTCTGCTGGTATAACTAATCAAGGACAGGACTATAATCTCGATTCATCTTACTACATATTGAGAGCTTATAGAACTAATAGTAAGGCTAACTGAAGCATTGGCAAATGATAAATGTTTGTGTGTTAATTGTCCTGTAGGTCAACAAGCAGCGAGTTTCCTATACAAGCACAGTAGTACTCCTACTCCTTCCTCAGTACAGTATAATCCAATGAGAGACTCTAATACATCACCATCATGTCCTAGTGCCCCTGTAAGTGTCTTACTGTATAATTGTGTGACAAGTACATGTACATGTACATGTAGTTTGTTTTCCAAAAATGTACATGTACATATGTTATTATTTTTGTTCCTTTTAGACTGATGCTTCAGCTTTTCCAATTGTGTTCAAGTCACCAACTGATTGTGACAGAGCATCCTGTACCTTCTATTGGGCAATGGGTCCTAATTCAGGCAGTTCACAATATCTTGATGTATATATGGAGGGAACTGTTGATGGATGGATGGCTG